AATCATATTGATTGCTTTGCATTCTTCCCTCCCTGGATACCTTTGCACCGACACATATCCATGGGCCCTGATGGGATTAATCCATGTGTGCTGAGTGGGCTGGCAGAAGTCATTGCTAGACTGTTCTAGCACTCTAGTCTTCCTCAACCTTAGCAAGGCTTTTGACACTGTCTCCTATAACATCCTTTTGGATAAGCTCAGGAAGTGTGAGTTAGAGGAGTGGACAGTGAGATGGATCAAGAATTGGCTAAACAATAGAGCCCAGAGGGTTGTGATCAATGGTGCAGAGTCCAGTTGGACCTGTGACTAGTGGTGTTCCCCAGGGATCAGTACTGGGCCCAGTCTTATTCAACATATCCATCAATGGCCTGGATGAGGGGATGGAGTGTGTCCTCCGCAAGTTTGCAGATGATACGAACCTGGGAGGATTGGCTGATACACCTGAAGGCTGTGCAGCCATTGAGCAAGATCTGGACAGAATGGACAGCTGGGCAAAGGGGAACCTAATGAGGTTCAACAAGAAGAAATGCAGAGTCCTGCACCTGGGGAGAAAAAACACCATGCACCAGTATAGGTTGACCTGCTAGAAAGCAGCCCCATGGAGAAGGACCTTGGGGTCCTGGTGGACAACAAGTTATCCATGGGAGAGCAATGTGCCCTTGTGGCCAAGAAAGCCAATAGTGTCTTGGGATGTATTAAGAACAGTGTGTCCAGCGGGTCAAAGGAGGTTCTCCTCCCCCTCTACTCTGCCCTCATAAGACCACATCTGGAGTATTGTGTCCAGTTCTGGGCTCCCCAGTTCAAGAGGGATAGGGATATGCTGGAAAGAGTCCAATGGAGGGCTAGAAGGATGATTAAGGGACTGGAACATCTGTCATATGAGGAAAGGCTGAGAGACCTGGGGCTGTTTAGTCTTGAGAAGAGAAGACTAAGAGGGGACTTTATTAATGTCTACAAATATCTGAAGGGTGGATGTCAGGAATGGGCCAGTCTCTTTTCAGTGGTGCCCTGTGATAGGACGAGGGGAAACAGCACCAAGCTGCGACACAGGAAGTTCCACCTCAACACGAGGAAAAACTTCTTTACTGTGAGGGTGATGGAGCACTGGAATGTGCTGCCCAGGGAGGTTGTGGAGTCTCCTTCTCTGGAGACTTTCAAGACCCGTCTGGATGTGTTCCTGTGTGATCTTACCTAGGTGTTCCTGCTGCAGCAGGGGGGTTGGACTCGATAATCTTCAGAGGTCCCTTCCAACCCCAATCCTAGGATTCTAGGATTCTAGGATTTAGCTTGGAAAATACCCTTAAGATCATTGAGTCCAGCCATTAACCTAGTACTGCTAAGTCCACCACTAAGCCATGGCCCTAAGCACCACATCTACATGTCTTTTTAATACTTCCAGGGATGGTGACTCCACCACTTCCCTGGGCAGCCTTTTCCAATGCTTGACAACCCTTTCAGTGAAGATATTTTTCCTAATATCCAATCTCAACCTCCCTTGGCGCAAATTGAGGATGTTTCCTCTCGTCCTATCACTTGTTACTTGGGAAAAGAGACCAACACCCACCTTGCTAGGTTCTATATGAAGTACAGGATCTCCTACTCTCCTGCCACCAGGTAAGAGGAGGGGACTGAAGAGATGAGGGGGAATGGAAAAAAAGGAGGGTAATCGTGGTAGGTTCTGATGGGAACTGAGGGCCCCACATGTCGACCAGATCCCTCCCACAGGGAAGTCTGCTGCCTCCCTGGGGCCTGGGGTAGGGATATTAGTAGGAAACTTGCTGGTCTAGTGCAGCCCTCAGACTACTACCTGCTTTTGGTTATCCAAGCTGGTAGTGATGAAATCACAGAGAGAAGTCCAAAAGCAATTAAAAAGGACTTCAGGTCATTAGGAAGATTGGTTGCAAAATTGGAAGCACAGGTAGTGTTTTCCTCAGTCCCTTCAGTGGCAGGGAAGCATACTGAAAGAAACAGGAAAACACACGACCAACACATGGCTTAGAGGCTGGTGCCGCTGACAGAATTTTGGGGTTTTTTATCACAGGGAGGTTTACATGGTACTGGGTCTACTGGCAACAGGTGGGGTTCAGCTATCTCAAAGAGGAAAAAGGATCCTCATGCATGAATTAGCAGGGCTCATAGAAAGGTCTTTAAAATAAACTCGAAGTGGGAAGGGGACGGGACTGGCCTGACCGCAGGGGAGCCTGTGTGTGGCAGACTGGTGCTTATGGGATGGTGTGCTGGTAAGGCCTTTCAATCTGCTGTCTCAGTGGAGATGGGGGACATTGATCCATGCGGCAGCAAAAATAAAAGGCTCATTGACAGGTTAGTAATTGTGGAAGTGGCTGAGAACAGTCAGGTAGGTATTGGGGCTTCTCCCCCCAAAAAGGTGGCAGGATCATTAGCCCAGCTGAAGTGCATCTACATTGATTCACGTAGCATGGGCAATAAACAGGAGGAGTTGGAGGCTGTTGCGTGGTAGGAAAACTGTGATATAGCTGCCATCACAGAAACCTGGTGGGATGACTTATACAACTGGAGTGCTGTGATCAGTGGCTACCAACTTTTCAGAAGGGATAGACGAGGAAGAAGAGGTGGTGGGATTGCCCTCTATATTAGGGAGACATATGAATGCCTGCATATTAATGAGGGTGATGAGTACTTATGAGTAAGAACTAGGGGGAAGGACAACAAGGCTTATATGGTGGTGGAAGTCTGTTATAGACCACCCAACCAAGATGAAGAGGCAGATGAAATATTTTATAAACAGCTAGGAGAGGTTTCGCGATTGCTACACCTTGTTCTCATGGGAGACTTCAACTTCCCAGATGTCTGCTGGAAATACAATACAGCAGAGAGAGAACAATCCCGGAGGTTCCTGGAGTGTGTGGAAGATAACTTCCTGACACAACTGGTGAAGGAACCGACCAGGAAAGGTGCCCTCCTGGACCTGCTCCTTGTGAACAGAGAAGAACTGGTCGGAGGCTGTCTAGGGCCTAGCAATCATGAAATGATAGTGTTTTCAATCCTTGGGGAAGTACAGACCAGGGGTCAGTAGAACTGCCACCATGGACTTCCAGAGGGCAGACTTTGGTCGACAAAATCCCTTGGGGGACAGTCCTGAAGGGTAAAGGAGTCCAGGAAGGCTGGACATACTTCAAAAAAGAAGTCTTAAACGTGCAAGAGCATGCTATCCCCATGTGCCAAAAGACAAGTTAGTGAGGAAGAAGATCAGCCTGACTGAATAGAAAGCATTGGCTGGAACTCAGGAAGAAAAGGAGAGTTTATTGCCCTTGAAAGAGGGGGCAGGCCTCTCATGAGGACTACAAAGATGTAGTGAGACTATGCAGGAAGAAAATTAGGAGACCCAAAGCCCAACTAGAACTCAAGCTAGCTACACAGAATCACAGAATCCTAGGGGTTGGAAGGTACCTTGAAAGATCATCTAGTCCAACTCCCCTGCCAGAGCAGGATCACCTAGAGTACATCACACAGGAATGCGTCTAGGTGGGTTTTGAATGTCTCCAGCGAAGGAGATTCCACAACCTCTCTGGGCAGCCTGTTCCAGCGTTCTGTCACTCTCACAGTAAAGAAGTTTTTCCTCATGTTTACGTGGAACCTCCTATGCTTCAGTTTGCACCCATTGCCCCTTGACCTATCACTAGACATCACTGAGGAGAGCCTGGCTCCATCGTCCTGACACTCCCCCTTAACGTATTTATAAACATTTATGAGGTTGCTCCCCAGTCTCCTCTTCTCCAAGCTAGAGACCCAGCTCCCTCAGCCTTTCCTCATAAGGGAGATGTTCCACTCCCTTCATCATCTTTGTGGCTCTGCACTGGACTCTTTCAAGCAGTTCCCTGTCCTTCTTGAACTGAGGGGCCCAGAACTGGACACAATATTCCAGATGCAGCCTCACCAAGGCAGAATAGAGGGGGAGGAGAACCTCTCTTGACCTACTAACCACCCCCTTTCTAATACACCCCAGGATGCCATTGGCCTTCTTGGCCACAAGAGCACAATGCTATTAAAGACAACAAAAAAATCTTTCTATAAATATATCAACAGCAAAAGGAGGACTTGGGAAAAATCTCCATCATTTATTGGATGCGGGGGGAAACTTAGTGACAAAGGATGAGGAAAAGGCTGAGGTGCTTAACACCTTCTTTGCCTCAGTCTTTACCAGTAAAACTAGTTGTTCCCTGGACAACCAGCCCCCTGGGCTGGAGGATAGGGAGAGGAGAAAGAATGAAGCCTTCTCAA